GAGCTCAAACTCATGAGGCTGGAACCCACAAACTATGAGGTCATGACCTGTGTGGAAATCAGACACTTAACTGCCTGAGCCACCCAGGCGCCCCAAAAGTTAATATATTTTTATTTCAGGAGTTTCACATGTTGTGATTCCTCCCACTGCCAACCACCTTGGTTCTTCCAAAGTTTAAGTAGTAATTTTTAAGTCAGCCCTTTTTTTAAAAAGAAGTTTTGCTCAGTCCATAGTTCTTTTAGTTGAGCTTCTTTGATCTCCACTTGAATATGGACATGTTGTAAAAATTCTCCAGCTGTAATATTTGGGATCCAGTTTCTTCAAGCAATTTTCCTTAGGGCCATGCTTAGGATCTGAGTAAATAGATCTGCCTAGTTCTCAATTTCAGACACCCTCTAAACATGAATAAGTTCAAACCATATTTACTCTTAAACTGTCACACCCTAGAATAGTACAGATTGTTGGAATGTGCCAATACCTAAGATTAAAATAATTTGACTGTTAGCAGATCTGTTTCATAGTTTCCACAGATAACACACGTTTCAGGATGTATATTTTCTGTCATTGCCTTGTAGTTCATTAATCTTACTTTCAGCTGTGTCCATTATGCCATAAACTCATCTTTGACTTTTACAGTTTAGTTACTGTATTTTTCCATTCTAGAATTTCCATTTGATTCTCTTTTATAAATTTCAGTTCGCTGGTGAAATTCTGTTTTGTCATAACTTTCTTCATATTTTCTTGAATATGTTTATCATAATTTTTTTTAAACCTTTATGTTTGTTAACTATTATTTTTATTAACTTTCGGTCTGTTTCTTTTGTCTGTTTTTTGCCTTTGGTCTTGTTTCTTGGTATGCTTGCCAATTTTTTATCAAATTCTTAACATTTCATATAAACAGTACTTTTGGCTCTGAATGATAATTTATTCCATCACTGAGGATTCTGCCTTTTTCAGTCAGTCACAGCCTGAGCTGAGTCTTCTTAAATTTCAATTTGCTTCTACTTCACCTTCATTCATAAGGATATTACTGTCGGGAAGTCTACTAAAGGAATGGAGGGAGGATTGACTAAGTTACTTCTCTGTAGTGGTTTTTGAACTTCAGTTTTTTGTTCTGCCAGCACCATGAGGATGTTGAAATCTCAGTTTTCATCCACTTTTTGTTTTAAAAAGTGCCCTATGCAGCTTTAGAATTCATAGGCGCCTTGGTGAACTGGCATCTGGTGTTGTCTTTGCCTTCCTGTCTTTCAGATCTTGACTTCTCAAATTTGGCTGCCTCATCAAGCCTGACTTGTAAGTTTTGACCTTTAGTCCTGCTGGATAGCCATAAGCACTCCTTAGTCACCTCTTTCTGCTTGGATTTCTTTTGAGTTCTGCTAGTTTTCTTAGCCTCTGGCCCTTCACTCCTTAGAATTTAACAGATTTTGCTGAAAACAAGAGCAACACACGGATAAGACTCCTCTCCCTGAGCTTTCCTTCTTCCTAGGATTTTGGCTTTTCTAGTATTGGCTAACTCAGTAACTCTCCAATACCTTGGAACAAATATTATTTATATTTTATCCAGATTTTCTTTTTTTTGTTGTTGAAGTAAAATTGGAATGCAGTATCCTATTAGTTTCAGGTGTATATAATATTGATTCAATATTTTTATACGTTACAAAATAATCCCCATGGTAAGTATAGTTACCATCTGTTGCCAGTTATTACAGTATTACTATATTTCCTATGCTGAGCATGATATCCCCATGATTTATTTATTGTATAACTGAAAGTTTTTACCTCTTAGTCCCTTTCACCTGATAGATTTTCTAA